TTAATAAATTAACTAGTATATTGTGATTTGATTTTTATTACATATAAGCCAGTAAGTATTATCTTTGATTTCAGTATTGCATCTCTTGTATGTTGAATTGATATAGGTTTTAGGATATCAAAAATATAGGTTTAACAATGTAGGTAGTTTATTTAAAAAAAACTTTATTTTAAGTTTTTAATTTTTGATAATTTGAAGTGTGTAAACTGGGTATATAGCTTATTATCATAGTTAATAAAATTATATAATAGCTTCCAATCTGTATTTTATTGTATCTGGTTCTAGATTTGGGCTTTATTTAGAGAGTGCCACCTGGCTATATTGTTTGCATTTTGTATATGTCTAATAAATCTTCAAATTTTGTGTTTAATGATTATACTATACCAGTTTTTGCAGTTGAGATAATAGGTCAGTAACCTCTTTAAATAGAGCAGCAATATTTGAAAATAACTATTTGGTAATTTGTCAAACTTAAAAAGTTTTTTAAGTAGTTAACAATTGCTGTTGTTTGGATTGCTGCTTAATTAGAAATATAAAAAGAAACTCTTTTGTAATATATCCTAATATAAGATCAGAACTTGTAGAAAAGAGAAATAGTTGCTCTTAAAATGCTTTGAGTACAGCATTTTTGATTTCTTTTAGAGTGTAATCATGATTACTTGGAATTTAAAGGAATTCTCTTGCATAATATATTAGTTTAAATATAACAAATTGACTAATTTTGTGATGAAATTTGTATTGACAAGATGCTATGCAATAAGCATTCTCTTGAGCATAGTGTAAATAGTTCTACATGCCTCACAGTTTATAATTATGAGTTGGTTATTGGTTTGTAGTTGGTTAGTGCTGTATTGTATAAATTTTAGTATTCTTTCAATATGCTAGCATAGTTTTAAGATTTTAGAAAAATGTAGTATAGAATCTTGTGTCTAGATGTTGAACTTCAAATATATTGCTAAGAGTAGCTTAAATTAGGTAAAAATAAAGCTAATTTTATACTGCACCAATTGGTATATATTATTAGAAGTTTGAAATAAAGTAGCTATAGTATTATATGTTCAGTTATTTAGATCAAATGGTTGTTTTGTACCTTGTACAATTTTGCTTGTGATTTGTTATACCTATGCAGTACTATCAGGTACCTCAAAAGTCGATAAATTGAGATTTTTATATATAACTTGGCTGTAAGATGGTTTGTTTGTTTTAGTAAAATCTATAGTAGTAACTGTATATATAGAAGATACAGTTGATAGTGATTGTAGTACCTATATATTTGTAGTAGTAGTACTAATTGGTGTGAGTCTAGGCCTTTTTTGTTACTATGAGTCTCAGTAGATTGAGCAGATTCATAAATATTTTGATAGATAACATTATGCCCAGAGATATTGAATTGGGCTGCTAACCATTTGTTTGCTTTGTGTAATCTAGAAAATATGGCTAATATACTACCTGTTGTATAACTTTTAATAAAATAGGTGCTGGTTTAAGGGTAGGTATTTGTTTACATGTTTTTTTCATGCAATGTGCAAATAAATATGCATATACAACCAAATATACAATTATAATTGGTTAATTTTGCAGATCATTAAATTTTGATTGGTTTATTTTTATGCCATGCGCAAACAAATAGTAAACAAATACCCTACCCTTAACCCTTATTATTTGGTGCTATCTTTGTAGTACTGGTAGAATTGTTTTGGCTAGTATTCTCATCAGTATCAATTTCTAGAATCAGATTGCATGGGATGAGTGCTATGTCTTTAGAGTATTTTGGTATATAGTATAACTTCTGTGATTGCTTATATGCTTTGTTTATTACTTCTATATCATGTCTACAAGTAGTTCTAGATAGTTTGGTATTAATGTTTATAGAACTGCATTTGGTACTTGTGAGGTCAAATAGGATTGATTTAGTTGTATCACTGTATTTGTATATCTATTGTGTAGGAAATTTAATCATATTTGGTATATTCCCAAACTGGGAGAATTCCACAGTAAATGATGGTGAGTTTAGACCAGTCTTTAATATTAATGTCAACAAATTCCTTTGAGTATTTTATAGTAGCATGATTGGTTAAGGTAGTAGGTGTTGTAGCTTTAGAACTTGCCTTGCTAGTGAGATAGATTAAGGGGTTAATAAGAGAGAAGCCACTGGAGGAGCTAGTGTTGGTAGGTATTTGTTGAGTAGATATTTCCTGTTCTATGCGAGTTTGGTTGTTGTTGTTGGTTACTGTAGTCTTGCTCCTGGTTGCAGCATCAGTTGTTGCGAAAGGGTCCATAGGACCAATTCCGCAAGAAAGGTGAAAGTTTTCCTTGGGCTGTTTTCTTGTTTTTCACCTGTAGTGTTGGCAAAAATGGTCTTGTGACCACTAATGTATACTCTCTGTATGCTAGTTTGGGTGCCGAACAAGTTTACTTAGGGGCCAGAGTTACATTGGCTTAGTATAATTTGCTGTTATTCGCCTTGAAAGTTTTTCTTTAGTTCCGGTTTTGGTAAAAGTGATTTACGGAAAGAGTTTACTGTTCTTTTTATTCTTCTTTTATAATATTGACTAATGTCAATATATTGAGTAGAAAAAAAGTTTAAAATATATCGGTATTTGTAACATTTTTTAAATATTGTTATTTTAACCAGTAATGATTTTCCCAGTAATACTATCTCAAAAACTGAGAAATTATTATTTTATGTGATTAGATGTACTGTTCATAGCCTACCTTAACTTTGTTTTCATTAATATATATTTGATGATTCATAAAACATCATTAGCAATAAAATGAACAATAGTTTTAAAAAAATAATTAATATTTATCTATTATAACGCTGTTAATTTTTAACAACTAAACCTTTGTTTTAGTACTGTAATTTTTTTTTATCAACTATACACTAAAGTCAAGTCTAAATTAGTTATCAATATGCTATGAGAAGTGATCACCGATAACGTAAATCCCTCCACTCTAATCCTATATCTTCAGGATCAAACTCATTGCCAATAAAAATTCTTAAAGAGATCAAAGTATTGCTTTTGTAAAATGTCTTTGCTAATGCTTTTCCTCCTTCAATACCAATATTAGTACCACAGAGACTTAAATCAGTTAAAGTAGTACTGTATTTATATAAAGTGCTTCTGCAAACGCTTTTCCTCCTTCAACACCAATATTATTATGGCTAAGGTCTAAACCAGTTAGTGTAGTATTCTTATAAAGAACTTCCGCTAGTGCTTTTGCTCCTTTAGAATCAATCATATTATTGCTAAGACCTAATTCAATTAGAGCAGTGTTTTTGCAGAGAGCATTTGCTATTGCTTTTGCTCCTTCAGTATCAACATTATTCATGTCAAGAGATATAGATATAAGAGTAGTATTTATATAAAGTGCATTAGCTAATGCTTTTACTCTCTCTGATCCAAGTTTGTTATTCCAAAGCCATAAAGAAGTTAAGGCAGAGTTTTTACAAAGCATATTTGCTAACACTTTTCCTTCTTCATAGCCAATATTATTATTACTAAGTTCTAAGGTAACTAGTGTATTGTTTTTACATAAAGCCTCTGCTAATGTTTTCGCTACCTCAGGATCGATATTACAATTCCCAAGATACAATGAGGTTAGAACAGTGTCCTTGCAAAAAGTTTCTGTTAGTGCTTTTGTACCCTCAGAGCTGATTTTATTTTTATTAAGATTCAAAGAAGTTATAGTAGTGTTCTTACGAAAAGCCACTGCTAGTGCTTTTGCACCTTCAAAGAGAATATTATTATTTTCAAGATCTAAAGAAGTTAGAGTAGTATTCTTGCAAAGTGCCTCTGCTATTGCTTTTCCTCCTTTAATTCCAATATGATTATGACTAAGATTTAAAGAGATTAAAGTAGTGTTCTTGCAAAGTGCTTCTGCTAATGCCTTTCCCCCTTCAATTCCAATATTATTGTAACTAATATTTAATGAAATTAGAGAAGAGTTCTTGTGAAGTGCCTCTGCAAATGCTTTTCCTCCTTCAGTGCTAATATGATTAAAACTAAGATCTAAAGAAATTAAAGCACTGTTCTTATAAAGTGCTTCTTCTAATATTTTTCCTCCTTCAAAATTAATCTTGCTATTGAAAAGATTTAAAACAGTTATAGTAATGTTTATATAAAAGGCCTTCAATAGTGCTTTGCTTCCTTCAATACTAAAGCTACATCTACCAAGATCTAAAGAAGTCAAAGTAGTGGTTTTACAAAAAACAGTTGCTAATGCTTTGCCTTCTTCAATATCAATATTAACACCTCTAAGTTCTAAAGAAACCAGAGATACATTTTTGCAAAGAGCTTCTGCTAAAGCTTTTACATCTTCAGAAATAAGATAATTATTGTGAATAATTAAGGAAGTTAAAGTGGTGTTTTTGCTAATAGTCTCCGCTATTGATTTAAAATTTTCATATCTAAACCTATTATAATAAAATTTTAAGGAAGTAAAGATTGTATTTACACAGAGACTTTTTGGTATTATATTATAAATACTCCCTTTAATGCATAAATATTTGAGTTTCTTACTTGTTCGTAGAAGCATTGCAGCTAAAGAACAATTAACAGCGCTTACGAGCTCATCATAATAGTAATCATTAGGATGATAATCTTTTTTATAACAATAATTTTCGTTAAACCATTTATCGATTCCATCTTCCAAATAATAGCTACTAGACGTAGTATAACTCGTGTACTCAAATAATGGCTTGGAATAAGTTGGAAGGATAATCCTGAAAGGGATTAATAGAGCTTGCTCTTCGTAATTTAATAATGAGAGACACGTTCTTATAAGTTTACCACTACATGAATGGTCAATTGGTTTGCTCCATAATATTGGTACAATAATTCTACACCAATGACGGTTCACTAGAAGGCATGAAAATAGGCATTTATAATTAGTTCGGAAGTTATCAAATATTTTGATGAGGCATTTGTTTGGTAAAGCAATCATTTTGAGATCTTCGCTATTACGTAGTAATCGAGATAAAAATTTGAAAAACTTTGATGAATGGCGTAATAGGATCAACCTTTTTATACGTGAATACACCCAATCAAATTTTGAAATCAGGTTTATCATCATTGCAAAAGTGGTTACGTAACCGCCTAGATTTCGGAAATGGGTCACAATACAACACTCTACTATAGTACTACAAAAACTTATCCAAAATTCTAGTAATGGTTTTAGACTTTGAAAGAGGCACAGGAGAAACTAGGGTTGCAGTAGTAGATTAGAGATCTAAATTATATCAATATCACGGACCTCAATATATGCATTTCTTGAATGTGTGCTAGTAATTGGCGTAGTAACCAGCCACAATTATCTGCAGCAATCAATTTTATATCATTACTTATCATATGTAGTATGTCTTCTTTTTTTGAATGAAAATTTTCACTGTGAATTTCACTGGCATGTGTGTACACTGAAGGTTCTCTATTTTTTTTAATTCGCAAATTACAGATATTGTATAGTAGAAATATGTAATACCTTATATGTAAATAGGTATATAGAGACTTATTTAACTTTTCAAAGCGGATCTTTTTGATGGTTATGTCACTATTATTTTCCGTGTTAAAATATGATTTTAAGTAAGTTATATGAAAAAATTTTTGTTTAAAGAATTTTTTTTTTATAAAAAATTTTGAAAGATATTATGAAACAAGCATGCGAATAGTTTGAATAACTAAAATACTATAAACTTAAAGTTATAAAAATATGAAACGGATGCATTTTTTGAAATTAAAATAGACACAAATCTGATAAAAATAACTTTTAGATATCTTTGAGAAATGGTGTTTTTTACATTCATTAAAATTTGTATTGTTGTTCATAATTACTTTAAGTGTAAACAAGCATCCACCCAGAAACAATCTCATAGTGATTGAAATAGTGCACAAGTATTATGAAGTAATTTTAGCTAGTCTCAACATTTTAAATAAAGTCAATAATGTGAATGACGATAATGTTAAATATGCACAAGTACTACTATTCCTAATAATTATAGTGATGCACAATTACTACGACAGATCTTATAAAATGAAGCATAATATAGCGTCACTACGTTTGTATGTTGATAACGAATTTATAATAAAAAAACATGAAAACGCTTGAACAGTAGCTCTATTTACTTTAATAGTTATAAAGTTTAATAAATCAATAAAAAAAAGGTGGTTCTGAACAGAAAGTTTTAATAAATTACAAAAGAGATGGTGAAAAAGGTTTTTAAAATAAGGGATATTACAAAAGCTTTCGTAAATTCATTCAAATTTCAAATAAAATAAATCATTTGTAAATACAGTATTGAAAAGTAGTATATTTTTAGATATATTTTTGCTTAAAACATTAATAATTAATATGAAAATTTATATCAGGAATTTGATTTTTGTATGAAAAATTTCCATTTGGCCATAATTATTGAAGTATTGAAAAATAATTTTCAAGCATCAAAAGTTAATTCTGTAAACATAAAAGATATATCAATATTGTAAAAGAAGAACAAAAGGGTTTAAAAACCAAATTTATATTATCTTGCAAGAAATTTTAATTTAAAAAAATCAAGTTGGCATAAATTCAATAAATCAGAACTAACTTCCTTAATTTTAAACTCAAATTTATATTTTGAGATGTTATTATTAAAATATAAAAAGATTGTATTTGCAATAAAATTGAAAAAAGATTTAATTGTTGACTATTTTATATTACTTTGTTATACGATTCATATTGATTTTAAATTGACATACATTATTTTAAAATATATACTGTATGTTAAATTTAACTACACTCATGCAAATATAATGAGCCTTTCGATTGCGTAGAAAAATATATCGGTATTTGTAATATTTTATTTAGTATTGCTATTTTAACCAGTAATGATTTTCTCAGTAATACTATATCTCAACAACTGTTTAGAAATTATTTTATGCGATTAGATGTCCTGTTCATAGCCTACCTTAACTTTGTTTTCATTAATATATATTTGATGATTCATAAAACATCATTAGCAATAAAATGAACAATAGATTTAGAAAAATAATTAATATTTATTTATTATAACGCTGTTAATTTTTAACAACTAAACCTTTGTTTTAGTACTATAATCTTTTTTTTATCAACTATACACTCACTAAAGTCAAGTCTAAATTAGTTATCAATATGCTATGAGAAGTGATCGCCGATAACGTAAATCCCTCCACTCTAATCCTATATCTTCAGGATCAAACTCATTGCCAATAAAAATTCTTAAAAAGATCAAAGTATTGCTTTTGTAAAAAGCCTTTGCTAGTGCTTTCCCTCCTTCAATACCAATATTAGTATCACAGAGATTTAAATCAGTTAGAGTAGTATTTATATAAAGTGCTTCTGCAAACGCTTTTCCTCCTTCAACACCAATATTATTATGGCTAAGGTTTAAATAAGTTAGTGTAGTATTCTTATAAAGAACTTCCGCTAGTGCTTTTGCTCCTTTAGAATCAATCATGTTCCTGCTAAGACCTATTTCAGTTAAAGCAGTGTTTTTGCAGAGGCATTCGCTATTGCTTTTGCTCCTTCAGTATCAACATTATTTATGTCAAGAGATATAGATGTAAGAGAACTATTTACATAAAGTGCATCAGCTAATGCTTTTACTCCCTCTGATCCGAGTTTGTTATTCAAAAGGCACAAAGAAGTTAAGGTGGAGTTTTTACAAAGCATATTTGCTAATGCTTTTCCTCCTTCATAGCCAATATTATTATGACCAAGTTCTAGTGTAACTAATGTATTTTTTATACATAAAGCCTTTGCTAATGTTTTTGTTACCTCAGAATCGATATTACTATTCCCAAGATACAATGAGGTTAGAACAGTATTCTTGCAAAAAGTTTCTGTTAGTGCTTTTGCACCCTCAGAGCCGATTTCATTTTCATTAAGATTCAAAGAAGTTATAGTAGTGTTCTTACGAAAAGCCCCTGCTAATGCTTTTGCGCCTTCACAGAGAATATTATTCTTTTCAAGATCTAAATAAGTTAGAGCAGTATTCTTGCAAAGTGCCTCTGCTATTGCCTTTTCTCCTTTAATCCCAATATGATTATAATAAAGATCTAAAGAGGTTAAAGTAGTGTTCTTACAAAGTGATTCTGCTAATGCCATTCCTCCTTCAACTCCAATATTATTGTGCCTAATATTTAATGAAGTTAGAGAAGAATTCTTGTGAAGTGCCTCCCAAATGCTTTTCCTCCTTCAGTGCCAATATTATTATTACTAAGATTCAAAGAAATTAGAGCATTGTTCTTACAAAGTGCCTCTGCTAATATTTTTCCTCCTTCAAAATTAATGTTGCTATTGGAAAGATTTAAAACAGTTATAGTAACATTTGTATAAAAGGCCTTCACTAGTGCTTTGCTTCCTTTAATACTAAAGCTACATCCACCAAGATCTAAAGAAGTCAAAATAGTGGTTTTACAAAGAGCAGTTGCTAATGCTTTGCCTTCTTCAATATCAATATTAACCCTTCCAAGTTTTAAAGAAACCAGAGATACGTTTTTGCAAAGAGCTTCTGCTAAAGCTTTCACATCTTCAGAACTAAGATAATTGCGAATAATTAAGGAAGTTAAAGTGGTGTTTTTGCTAATAGCCTCCGCTACTAATTTAAAATTTTCATATTTAAACCAATTAGAACAAAATTTTAAGGAAGTAATGACTGTATTTACGCAGAGACTTTTTGATATTATATTATAAATAATCCCTTTAATGCATAAATATTTGAGTTTCTTACATGTTCGTAGAAGCATTGCAGCTAAAGAACAATTAACAACGCTTACGAGCTCATCATCATAGTAATCATTAGGATGATATGATTTTTTATAACAATAATTTTCGGTAAACCATTTATCGATTCCATCTTCCAAATAATAACTACTAGACGTAGTAAAACTCGTGTACTCAAATAATGGCTTGGGATAAGTTGGAAGGATAATCCTGAAAGGGATTAATAGAGCTTGCTCTTCGTAATTTAATAATGAGAGACACGTTCTTATAAGTTTACCACTACATGAATGGTCAATTGGTTTGCTCCATAATATTGGTACAATAATTCTACACCAATGACGGTTCACCAGAAGGCACGAAAATAGGCATTTATAATTAGTTCGGAAGTTATCAAATATTTTAATGAGACATTCGTTTGGTAATGCTATCATTTTGAGATCTTCACTATTAGTAATCGAGATAAAAATTTGATGAAATGGCGTAATAGGATCGACCTTTTTATGCAATATTCACATAAATATACCCAATCAAATTTTGAGATCAGGTTTATCATCGTTGCAAAAGTGGTTACGTAACCGCCTAGAAAAATAGGTTTTGGAAATGGGTCACACTATCAATAACACTCTAACGTTAACTAAAACACTACTATAATGCCACAAAAATCTATCTAAAATGCTGCACTAAAACTATCAAATCTATACCGTAATACAGTAATAATTTTAGACTTTGAAAGAGATGCAGAAAGACCTCTTCTTTTTTTGAATGAAATTGCTTTTAATTCGCAAATTACAGATATTGTATAGTAGAAATTTGTAATACTTTACAAAATTTTGATAATTTCGAGATATGCAATTATTTGCAAATAATAAGCAATATATAGTGCATTATTAGTACTAAGTTGGCGATTTTACAAGATTATTCATTATCAGCGCCTTTAAATATCTAATAAATTACTTTGCGGAAATCTTACATTTTTGTGAAAGCGACAAAATATCCTAGATTTAGCGTAAATTATTAATAATATAGAACTCTAACAGGAAATTTTCATAGCAAAGCGCTAATTTAGCTTCTTACTAGCACTATTAACGAGGTTTCGATGAGGCT